GTCAGCTGCTTCCATGTAATTTAAGTTTTCTTATGTAATGTCATCCAAAACCACCCTCATAACTCCGTTCAGAGAATCGCTTGGCAGATTTGGAAAGCGGATTTGAATTCAGCGCCCTAAAACACGTCTAGCAGTATAGGTCTCATTTCAAATGGCCACTTCGAGTTGGGATCCTTCCCTGGTGAGTTCGTTCGATGGATCGCCCGCAATAAAGGATCGAGATTCTTTCTATTCTTCTTTCAACTTTCCACATTTTGTATCGCTGACTTTCGCCATCCCAGTGAGGAGTAGATCTTTACTTTGGTTCTCCTTGGCTCAGTATTGGAGATATAGAATGCGAAATTGAATCTTCATTATTCCGATCTTCCTTTGCATCTTGTCGATTTGATGATTCCGATGATGCTGTGCGGTTTTGCCTTTGGATAGTTGTACGTCTTGTACGTCTTTGTCTTGCTTCGTACGTTTTGTTGCTGCGCTGGTCTTGTAGTATTATTTTTCTGCTGAAGTGTACCATCTTTTCTATTCTTTTTTTGGACATATAGGGAAGTTGTTTTTTGCCTTCACACATATTGCGTCCTTTACTTATGCACTCTCTCAAAAAATGATCAGGTTTTGCGCAGTTCAGGCATATTTTATACTTGAGTAAGAACTGTGTTGCATCCTTGATCAAGGCAATTTTGGTACATGCTAGTGAGCTATGTTCAGCTGCACTGCAGTAAATACATGCCGGTAGTCGACCTGGTATTCTATCGTTTCGTCTTTGGTCTGTATCAATCTTACTTCTATTCTGTAAAGCTTCGTTGTTCGCTAACATTTCTTCAACCTTTTCTGACTGGGATCAGCCTGTTTAGGTCGGTCAATAGTTTACTAATAGACCAGTCATCTTCGCGATGACCTGTTTCGAAGCGTTAATGCAGGACCTTACTTTGAATACTTTATTTAAACTTCGCTAGAATTTTTGTGCAATAAAGGAGTCATTTAAGGGAACTCCTTTCTGCTCCAACTGTGTTCTTAAAGCAAGGAGAAATTCTAGTAGCGTTGAGTATATTGTTTTCTTTAATTCTTCACGAGTTTGTTAACAAGCTTCATTAGGTTGACGTTTCGGCGATATCGTCTTCTTCAGAACGGGAAAGGATCATAACAATCGGTGACTATCCGACCAAACGTTTCCACCAACTCACCGCAGTCCGAGACCCCTTAGGGCACGCAAGTGGTCAGAATGAGAGCCACTCACCATAGCTCCGTGGATTCTTCGAAACCACCCAGCACGTGATGGTACCAACCGACCAGTGTCAGATGGAGTAAGTCCTCGTTCAAAGTCACTGCGGAAAGGCCAATCTTATATAAAGCCGCAGTTCCCGCGAGATTGCGAAACATTCTTTTCTACAATTCGTTTTTGGATCAGTGACTTGTATCCGGGATGCCTCGGGGGTTTTACGTGCGCTCAATTACGACTCCCATGTTACGACCTCTACGGTGACCTAGAAATCGCCTCAGTTGTGTTTTCGAATTCGGTGACTCCCTAAGGCGGTAGACTCTTTCAGTCGTCTCATATCATAGAAGTGCTCCTCAACCCTCACTCGTGGAGTGATCTTGCCGTCTCGCCAATATACTCATCACCACAATCACGGCAAGTAATTTTGTAGAGCACCCCAGACATGTGATGAAACATGAACATGTGATGAAACAGACATGTGATGAAGATGAAACGAAACGTTCCAAAAGCAGTTTCGTGGACTAAACCGTATGTGGATTTCAGTAGCACGGTCAGCAGGATTGAGTTCAACCTTGACGCGAGGGTTGCTTTTTATATTTTGGGATGGGCAACCTTAGTATGGCAATCTGGTAACTGACAGCTCTATCGTGAAGTTTGTCATTTTTGAGGTTATACGTACTCAGAACCTTTTGACTTATGAGCGCTCTTTGTGTTGTTTACACTAACTTAAAAAATTCACTCAGGCCCTTGGCGCCACCGCCCCCCTCTTAAGTCAAACCTCCTTCCCCCTTAACCTCCCCCTCCCCCTTTGGCGGTAAAGCTCCATCAAGAACCAGTTTTTATAGATGGTTATAGATTCAACCGAGGTCGTAGTTCACTCCAAGACGAATTTCATGTAGGTTTCCAATATCAGTTGTTGTTCCGATGCTGTGCGCAAACTAATATTGCAGGTGACCTATCGTGAGATTGGCACAACCTTAGGCATTGAAGGAACCAGCATACTTTCCTTAACATTTGACTGCAGAAAAATTTGTTCGCGTTGGATCCCAGAAAATTGTCAATCCCTAAAAAAAAGCTCATGTCGAGTGGTCGAAAGAAACGATCGCAGTTCTTCGAAACACGTCTATGACAAACACGTCTGCGAAAGGTGATGGTTCATGGGTTCACGCGTAGAGCCGAAAGTAAACAGCAGTTGACCGTATGGGTATCTCAGGATGAGCCAAATCCAACAAAAGCTATCCGCGCACGAAGCACTTACAAGCAAGTGGTCTCATGTTTTTTTGGAAAAACTGGACATGTCGCAACCGTACCCACTAGAACAACGCAGAACGGTCAATTTCGAGTGGTATGCAACCATTTGTTTGCCGGTTGTCTTCCAAAAAATCAGGAAAATCAACTGCCGAAGACGGATAACTCTTCACCACGACAACGCGAGCTCCCACACATCTGCTCAAACAACTGCATTTTTGAGCACTCTAAACAACGATTTGATGAGTCATCGGTCATATATTTCCTGGGTGACTTCTTCTTATCCCGTACGTAATAAATTAAATGAGAGGTCAGCGTTTTTCGAAGCCATTGATGCGTTCAGAATGCATGTTTCAGAGATACCTCAATCAAAGTGGCAAAAGTGCTTCGACAATCGGTTCGAAAGCATGCAAAAGTGTATAGATCTTAACAGGAATATTCTCGAAGGCAGTAAAGCGATTTTCAATGATCAACATTTATTTTTGTTTTTCAATCCTGAAGTATGAAAGGCAACCTACGTAACACGGCTCAAACTTGAGTCGCCTTGTTGCCCAGTCCTGCATCTGCTCATAAAGACATTCAATTTTTTGGATGCAGATGACTTAGCTTCAATCAAACCAACATCCGTGAAAGTCGTCCTATCATAAGCTGCGTGGGTGGTCCCACTGGCCGGATTCCTTGGTTTCCTAATACCATTCTAGTGCAGCTCCTCAAGTTCACACCCTCCCACCTCACAAACACCCATATGTTTCTGGATCGCCTTGGCGTACTGCACCTCAATGGTTTGTGCGTTATGAGATCCTTTGATTTAGAAGCTCTCCACTCAAATGTCAGCAATGGATCTACTATGGAAGCCATATTCGAGCTTCTTGGTGAGCACCAGAGCGATGTTAATGAGAGGGCTTTCTCTATCCAAACTGATGACACTTGAAGGAAGGAAGAAAGGAAAAAGGAAGGTGGAGGAGTGCCTCAGTTGTGACATTTCCAAGGGTCCCTCGTGGGTTATTTCGCACAGAATAGAGGCTTGGCTATTGGGCAGCGATTGGCGCCAGTTTGGCTATATCATTTATGGCCAAGATTGAGGCGCCTGTACTGGAATACCTGCCCTTACTTTACTGCAGGTATATCGGTGATTGCTTCATAGTCTGTGCAACACAGGAAGAAATAGATGTGTATTTTGGCCTACCAAACTCACAGTCGGAGCACATCAAGTTAACACGAGAAAAACCGACCGGATGTTGACTTCTTTTCTTAAACGTTCAAGTGAGGTTACAGGGCGATATGATTGATTTGAAATGATATAGAAAACCCAGCAAGAATATCATTGTCCATTATCACTCAGCTCATCGCTTCTATGTAAAACGAGCGGTTGTTAGAAATATGTACTGCACTGCTAAGAAGGTTTAAACCGGAGACATTGAGCGAAAAGAGTCGCTTTAAGTGGCCCACGATATAGCTTGGTCGAGTGGCTACTACAATTTTTCAACTACACGTAGAGCTTCTGCTGTCGATGATCCTCAGACATGGTAGAACTCCAATGGAAGGGAAGATTCCTTTTGTACTACCATTTATTTCTGATGAGGTCAGTGCTTCCATCAGAAAGTGTCTAAAGAGATCGGCTTCCATCAGAAAGTGTCTAAAGAGATCGGGTTGGAAAAATTTAGTTGCTATTGTAAAGCACCACTCTTCAACCTAAAGAAGCGCCTAGTTCAGAACAGGCTATACGATCGCCTATGTACGACCTCGAATTGTGTGTTCTATTCAGCTGAAAGGAAAGGTTATTGTAACATGCCTGGGGTGGACTACAAAATTAATTGCCGTGATTGTGGTGACGATATATTGGAGAAACGGCAAGACCATTCCACGTGAGGGTTAAGGAACACATAGATGGTATGGGACGATTGAAAGAGTCTTCTGCTTTAGGGAGTCACCGAATTCGAAAGCATAACGGAGGCGTTCTCAAGTTCACCGTGGAGGTCGTAGCACAGGAGTCGGAATTATGCGCAAGCAAAACCCTCGAGGCATTTTGGATACAAGTCACTAATCCAAAAAAGAATCGTAGGGAAGAATGTCTCACAATCACGGGAGCTGCGGCTTTATATAAGATTGGCTTTCCCGCAGTGACTTTCAATGAGGACTTACTCCAGCTGACATCACTTGCTGGGTGGTTTCGAAGAATCCAAGCTACGGTGAGTGCCTCTCCTTTCGGTCATTGCGCGCCCCAGGGGTCTCGAACTGAGGTGAATGGATGGAGACGTTTGGTCGGATACTCACAGATTGCTATGATCCTTTCAGACTCTGAAGAAGGCGATGTCGCCGAAACGTCAGCCTAATAAAGGTTGTTTACAAACCTCGTGAAGAGTTCAAGAAAACAATAAACTCATCAATACAGTTATGCCGAGTTTCATAGAGAGCCGTACTTGGAAGTTAATTCTAGTAGTCTTTGCTGCTCACTGATATGGGTGCCGCTTGCTGAAGCTCGCTCGAATCGCACTTGAATGTCGTAGATCGGTTTTGATTTGTCACCGAATTTTTCTCGCAGTACCTCTACTGCTGCTTTTTAGTTCTCATCCGATACGGCATATCGCCGTATTGCTTCTTTTGCCTCGCCCTTTAGGCTCTGCAACAAATGGTTGAACTTCTGCAGATTCGTAAACCTCTGGCTATGAAGACTCGCATTGAATAGTGCTAAGAAAATTCCAAATTTGCTGATTTTCCCACTAAAGATAGGTATAGGGATGGTGGGTAACTCCACCTTTGCGCATTTCATCTCTGTAGATGATTCGCTTCGCGCTCCTATTCCCGCCAGCCCTGCTTCAAGTCTATCAGCCAGAGGGTATGCCTTTTCGAAAAGTTCATGAGTCCTCGCCATGTATTCCTCGATTTGCCTTTGCTCTTCTTCCGATAGCGTTTCGGTGATCTGGTCTGCAGTTCTTGCAAGGTTTTCAAGCGTGTCGCTCACTAGCTTCAAGTTGGCGTCTGCTTTCATGGGCCTCTCCGAGAGAAGTCTCGGAGAATCTGCTATATCAGTTTTACTAGAATACCTCGCGATGACCTGCTTCAACAGGTTCGAATATCTGGTGAGAAGTTCTTTCCGTGATCTTTTTTGAACGAACGCTGTTATTTCGTTTCTTCGCAACGATGAAAGGATTCGCTACAATCGCTAGTTCGTCAAGAAATATTTGCAGTATGCTGAACAATTCTAAGTAAATCGTACCAGCAAGTGGATCGCTCACTTGGGATCCGATGCACGATGAAAAGTCTTCGTGGTCTGAGCGGCCCCCCTTTCTACCATTCCAGTGCTATTGCCACGCGGGACTTGTGCCTCTAGCTTGGGTAATTAAGCCTTTATCCAAAACACGTGAAAACAATAAGTGAGACCATCCTTTGAGGCATGGAGAAAACCAACTTAGATATTACAGTAAAGGCTTTCGCTATATCGCGAGATGTTCAACCGAGAGAAAGAGCACATGAAATATTATTGTCTTATGGGTCCCCTACAAGCCCTTTTCAAAGCATCCAATATTTTCGAACATGCGTAGACTCGTGAAGCACATTTTTGATGCGGTACTATACAGGATGTCCCAAAATTATGGGCGCCAAAATTCGGAAGTTTCTAAGTTAGAAATCATCTATTAAATTCTCGTCAACTGCTATCAATAAGTTGCAAAGATGGTTTTCCACGCAATATGCATGGTTACTGAAGTGAAACTCCCGATATCTTTTAGATGGAGAAGGTTCATTCAATGCCAATTGCAATCATTGACATGGGAGAGGCGGAAAGGCATTATCAAATTCCTTGTAATCCCTATAATGTCCGCAGAGGAAATATTAAACGATACAGAGAAGAAGGATCACTCAAAGGCAAGCTAAGAAAGGGCAGAATGGTCAGCGTTCCCAAACATAGGGCTACCAACATGGCTCACTTGCGAGTCGATCGTGATGTTGGGTGACCCATCAAAAAGACGGCACAGAAGCAGGAATTATCGAAGTTGTTGGTAGGGCGAATTGTCAAGCGAAAGCTTCATTGCCGTTCCTACCGCATGCAGAAATGTCCCTTTGATTCCAATCTCAACAGACACTGCAGTGCCAAAAAAAGCAAAAAGTCGCAGACCCTCTTAAGTGAAGACCGTGAGCCTTCGCTGTTTTCTACAGCTTAAAAACCTTCACGAAAAAGCCATCCCACAACAACCGTTCGCGTCCCGATAAGAAACATCTAACGCGCAATCTCTCACTAAAAAATTGCTGTAAGAACAGTAAAATGTTTCTTGAAGAAGTCACTGGCGAAAGTGAGACGCTAGTGTTTTCATCGGTTCCAGCGGGAAAATGGACTAAGGCCAATACTCTAAGAGCGTAGTGACGTAATAAAGCACCGATCCGACTACTTTTCCTGCAACGTCTCGTAATCCTTCCAACACGGCGCTACTCGAGTCCACACAGTCAAGCTTGCCCGCGTTTGGTGCCGACGACAGCTGCGTGGCTTCATTGGTAAAGAATACGGCCATCCTATTTTCCAAAACTTCACTTATTTGGCTCCTCCGTATGGTCCTCTATTAGTAGAGGACATGTCGGGTAAGCCATCCCAGTTTGGAGTCCTAGAAAGCAAGACTGAAGAACGCCTGGGAAGAAATGGAGAAGAATATCTGCGTTCAACATGCGATCAGTTCGAGAACGAACTTTGGAACTCTATCCGCGCTCACGGGGGATAATTCAAAATTGATTGTAGCGTGCATAGGAATTCCATCGTCTTGCTCAGCTGAGAAGCTTCAAATATTGCTATGAATTGGCGCCCATAATTTTAGGACACCCTGTACCTAGACGCCCTTTAATCTATTAGGTCGCGCCTTTCCGCGACAACGCCCTTTAATCTATTAGGTCGCGTTTTTCCGCGACAGCTACCACGACAGCTATAACCGTCTTTCGTAGCGCCTATGTGACCGCTGAGGTCGCCCGCGACAACTGTGGCTTCTTGTGACGGTCTTTCCATTAAGCAGGCTCCAGAACTTGTCCTTGGATTGCTCGGAGCATCCAGTCTGTGCAGCATGCGTTGAGAAGAGTTGGTATTTTTGGCGTTCGATGACTACAATGATCTTCATTAAGCGATCATCGAAGCGTTCCACGCTTACTATCGAATTACGGAACCATTCAGACGTTGTTGGTTTTGGGGTAATCACAAAGACCGGCTTTGAAGCCGTGGTCAATGTTCCTGGACTTGAAGCATGACCACCTCGTTTCCTGCACGGCACAGAAATCAAATCGTCGACGCTGTAGAGCTTATGCTAATTCGAGCGTCACACATTCAGCGTCGCTTGCGAGTCTTCCTTACGTTGCGTGTCTTTTGAACTAGCCTAGTTCCTGCACCGGAGACCCTCGCACACTTTTCATGCTCGCCGGGCTTTGCGAGTGTGCGTCGGCTCCGCGGATGCCAAGGCATTTCATCAAGATTCACTTAGTGACATAAACATTTTTGATGTGACGTGCGTAGGCCAGCCGGTCGCGGAGGCCTTTCGCCTGCATTAGAACGTCCGCGATCAGCTCAGCCCACAGAGTGAGCAGTTCCCAGTGGCACCTTTTGAAGGAACAAACATCAGCACCTCTCCACCGATATTCCTCTTTCTATACTTCTCTTCTTTTCGTTTTGATGATATTATTTACTATGTTGTAACTTATTATATACGACTACCAGTCGGCTTGCCCGGCTTACGCCGGGCTTCCCTCCTTCTTCGACAAAGAAGTAGTAGAGTTAGCGCTAGCTGTGTCCCTTGACTCATCTTGCTACAGAACAATACACAACTAGCGCAGTCAGTTTTATTATCTGTTAGACGAACATAGATACAGCACGTATGACATAGACTATCGCTAGGAATAACTACGATGGGGGTCGAACGGGGTGATGCGCAGGAGGTGTTGGGCTCGAGGGCGGCTGGCGAGATAGGAGTCCTTGTTCGAACAACCGCCCTTGCTCCTCCTTCCCTCCGACTATTATCTCCGCGATCTGAAAGTTGCAACATTAGATTCATACTGTAGCATGAATCACTGCTCTCAATCTCTAACCTCTACAGACTATGCTCAAGCCTTACAGTAATCAGCTAAGTTTTTCCTTCTTCGAAACATAATATTTCCCTGTACATAAAGTCTGATACAGGACTAACAGGGCAGTGCATATCGTCTTCAGTGTAGGTAGGTGCTTACGTTTTCAATTGGAAGTCTCGATCTTTTGCTCTCCTCCTTAGAAATGAATACCCATTAAAGATTCGATTGTTAGGCAACCAAAGCTTTGGGCGGTAATCACAAATGTTTCGAATAATGATAACACCATTATCGATGACTCTATCAGTGGACCTTTTTCTTCACAGAGATATCACTAGTTGAGTAGTCCAGATTACTGACGGTCGATTAAGTTTTTTCGCAAGTGATATCGTACAAAGAGGGTCCTCCATTGAGTCGCAAACCTTGTTGGGTAGCTTTCGTAAACTAATAGCAAGAAATCAACAAAATTCTCATCTGCCGAGCGTAGTGCCACTAAAGGGTTCTTATCACTGCGCTTACCACTCGCTTTTGTCACCCTACTCTACCATCTAGTCTTATCCAATGAAACGTACTGAACAGCCAGAGCCACATCGTAACCGCCGAAGAGTTGGAATTTTGATCGGTAGGTGACTATTGTTCTCTTAGGCCCCTTATCTTTTCCTATAAGTTATCATCGGTTCCTGTCACCGAGTACCTACGATTCCGTCATATCCTACATCGCTTAACGAAATTTCGAGGTCCCACTGTTGATACGAAAAGCTTAGTCCTACAAAAATCGAACTCTTTTTGTCCACGGGAACAGGAATTGTGGATTTCCGCTCAACCGTTTATTTCGCGGGAACTCCGCCCTCTGTAGACGGAATCTGGCTTTGCTACCCGCCATGAGTGTTCCTGTCCTGTCGCCTGTACTCCCACCAACTTTCAGCGCTCTAGGTCCACTGAAAAATTCGTTACGAACTAACGGTCAAAAATTCCCATCGCGCACGTCCCGCCCCCTGAGGGCGGAATCGTGTCCTGTTACCTGCCATAAGTGTTCCTATTCTACCGCCTGTACTCCTACCACATTTCAACGCTCTAGCTCTAGTAAACAGGAGTTGTGAATTTCCGGTCAAACACACATCGACCACACGCACTCACAAACAAACACACCGACAAACCAACAGACACACTTGGCGAATTATACAGTAGCGCTCAAAAGTCTTCGGTGAAATGGCACTTCTGCCGTACTTTTCAGTTGCAACTCCTTTCCTACTGGATCTAATCATGCGGAATTTCTATATTTGGAGCATGGATGTATTGTGAATATTTACCAATATTAACCTGCAATCTGAACGTGTTTCAAATATGCCAAAGGGCTTGTACTCAAAATCGGCCGAAAATACAGATGATGGTCCTTCTAGAATCTCTTTCCTTTTAGTCATGTCTGAAGTGTACGAGCGGTAACGACGATCACGATAAATGAGAAAAGCGCACACAAGGTGCAAATAAGTGCAGACGTCAACAACTTTAGTTTTAGCAAAATCTCCTACCGCAAGAAACACCTTGCTCTATCTGTGGATATTGCAGCTTTGCAGTCGAATAGTGTTGGGTAGGGTGAAATATGCTCTTCTTAAACATATCCAAATTTCGCGCGAATTGGTCTACTAAGAAAAAAGTTATGAACGAATAAGCGTCGAAGCTTTTCACCGAAGACGTTTGAGCGCTACTGTATATAGTAGGATCGTTATATTAGAGTCTGACGATGAGTTGAGTTGTTGAATTTTGAGGTCTGAAGAAGAAATCGAGTGCAAAAAGCTTTCCATTAAAGGTAGTTCCCAAAAAACCTCATAAAGCGTTCCCCCATATTCTCATATATATATGTATATATATATATTT